GATTTACCTTCAACTCTTTTTTTTTAAAATTATTATTATTACATCTTCTCAAAGGTTCTTAGAAGGATATACCAAAAAGTGAGAGTAGGAAAGTGATATGAAGAAGTCACAAGCAGTTTTTGTAACAGTGGCAGATTGCTACAGACACTCATCTGCTGCCTTCCCCAGTAATTTGTGCTGTAAAACTTAAATGATCTGAAAAAGGGGTCAAAAAACACTGCTGCTGAATTAATATTATTCAAAGTAGTTTAAAAGAAAAAAAAGACAGAAGAGAGACTTCATAATACTGAATGCAGGGTAAACGTCCAGGTGAAATTCACTACCAATACCAAAATGAAAAGTTATAAAATAGATAAAAATAATCGCAACCACACACAGAACAAGAAGTGGCTGCAAAGTTAGTGTTACAATCTCCTTATCTAGGACACAAAATACATTTCTGTCATTTTAGATAGCTCTCTGAAAAACATCAACCCATGCTCAGAAGCCATGAAACTTAAGAGAGCTTTAGGACTCACTAGGGTAAACCATAGAAAACAAACCAAAACACAACTGCGGCATAGCACTTCATATTTACAACCTGATTAGAGGTTGGTCACCATCTCTGAAGAGATGCAGAGTAATTAAGATTTTCAGAAGTGCAAAATCACTAAATCCAGCAGTCATACTGGGAAAAAGACAGTAAGACAGACGTGAGAGGCCTAGAGAGCTGTGATAAAGACAAAGAAGGTAAAAAGAGAATATGAATCACTGAACAATGTGATCAAGAAGCAGGCTTAAAACAATAACAATCACTTTCTCATAGTGACTACTTAAATAGGAGGGCAGAACCATCCACAGATTGTTATTTTTTTTCCAATTCATTGCCCTCTTCATAGAAAAAATTCAATCAGTGCCAGAGTTCACAGTACAGCTGCAGTTTCTACCTTAGGGCATCCTTGGACAGATTCTGGTGAGTAGCAAGGAGATATTGCTGGAAAGAGGAAATATCATGGCAGCCCTGTCATATTTCTTGCTCTAAGCACCTGCTACTACTACTTCGGGAGACAACAGTGGGCTCAGTAGATCTCTGCTTTGCCACATGGCAATTCTGATGTTACGTATATTAAAACTATACAGTTGACCCAGATGAATCCTATCTGTCCCACACTAAAACACTGGCTATGTAGCAGCACATATATCATTAACTTGGGGAAACAGAGACACAAAATGTAGTATTCGAGAGTTCTGTGCTTCTGGGAGCAGGGATGTTCATCAGCCGAGTGCTGCAGCCCAGAGCTTTCCCATATCTCGCACCAACCAGAACAGAATTGCAAGAAGGCAAATTGTCACTTTGATATGTCAGTGCAGATGGTGTGCAAAATTCTAATTCATCATTAAAGTCAATTTCTATGGCTCAGCACGACAAAAGGCTCCCTGAAACAAAGCCAAAACTAGAGTCCTTCTTCATACAGTATCACTTATCCAGGATAACTACTATAGATACGTGACTTGTATAAGGCAGGTGTTTTGCTTTTGTGGTTTGCAATATGTAAAGTCACTTTGCACAGCATGAAGAAGATCAGCAGGAGCTACACAGTGGTTGAATTAGCTCATGTATTAGTTAAAAGAGGTGGTACCAAGCACATCTAAACCATTTCTCCTCTGTGGATTGTGCTGTGCCACTCCCTCAGGTAAGTGAATGCAACAGCTCCCTGCTTCACACATGTCTCCCCTAGAGAAGCTGGGATCAGACTGACGTGAGCCAAGAATTTCTCAGAATTGCTAGCAGATCATCCCCCTTAACCATCCTTCTATTCAGTTGGACTCTTTCCTACTTCCACCTGCACTGAAGGTCTAAAATCACCGAGATACTAACTTCTGCATTGAAACACAGAAGCTTGCAGTTTTTTCTCAATGATTGCTACTCATATTCAGTTGTGTGGAAAGGAATGTCCCCATACAAAGCATATGATAAAAGAAAACCCACCGTAACTCCTGAAACAAAGGCTTAAGCATGGACAAAAAGTACACATTCATTTCATAATGTCTACCTATATTGACTGGTTTGAAATTCAAGATCGAGTTTCTTAAGAAAGCTTGAGAATTTTTTTGATCAGTTCATCCAGGAATACTTCCTGTTTCAGACATCCTTTATGCGTCTCAGCCTCTCATTGACAGGTTAAAGACAGCAAGAAAATAAGAAAGCTGTTATTTGAACAAGAGCGCCACATAGTGATGAAAAGCAAAAGGCAGACAATCTCTCTAGGCTTCCCAAAACCTGGTAAAAGGAAAAACCATGGGCATTACTGCACTGAATATAAAGTCTCCCCATCCCGTGATTTTTGACAAAGCAGAAAACCACGTAGCATTCAGCATAAGGAAAAGAAACAAAGCACACCTTTTCGTAGTTCATTCTGCAGCCTCCATGTCAGCTAGCAAAAACAAATATTTCAAGTAAAGCAAAGTAGCAGTGAATTCCATTGCATTTAAGTTATTTGCCTTGGTTTTTGTTCAAAACATAAGGAAGAAACATGATTTGTAGCTAAATGTAAAACAGGTGACCAGTATTTGGAGACTGTACACAGCAGCTCAATCAGTAAATTATTTGTGAAACTGATCACAAGTTTCTACTTGACTGGAAGCATTTGCCTGTCTAAAAGAACAAAGAAACCACACAATATTGCTAGCACCGGGAAGGAACAGGTTATCCAAAGAGCAACTGACAGTTTTGCCAACTTTAAAACTGTATTAAGTGTGGAACAAGGATTTTTATTTTCTTCCTGAGGAAAAGAAAATCTGCATTACAGAGAAACTATTTTAACATTCAATTTCAGTAAAAGTTCATCCAGAAACTTTTTATTTATGAAACATCTACAAACAAAAGAGACAATCTATTATGCTGCTAGGCAAGACCATTCTTCTCTAGTTTCTATTTGATAGTATTTTCACCTTGCTAAAAGAAACAAAGACTTTTTATTAAGATATTTACACTCATGTTTTAAAAAACCCTGTGTTCACTGTCACATGGAAGTGAAACAACACACAGTACAGCTACTGTCTTACAGAAAGAATCCAGCATTGAGTTTAATTTAAAAAGCCATCAATCATGCCTAGGTTGAGAGATTTTTCTTCTATAAACTCATGATATACAAAAGAGTCTCCCAAAATTTCAGCACTAGATGGGTCTGTCATTTCCATGCTTTTGAGATCAGAGTTCTCTAAAAACAGCAATAACCCACAAATTAGCCTTGTAATTATTGTCCTCCAGCCTGGGTTTTGCCACACTTCTTCAGAGTCCCCCTTTCCCAAACTGCACATGACTTTTCCAGCTTTCAGGAAAAAGGAGGATGATTCAACTTACACTCCCTTGCATCCTGCTGCTGCTGACAAAGGGATTAATCCCACCTCTAAAAGTGCTCTTAGAGTGAAATCAGTTACCTGAGTGGCCAAAAAGATCATTGACTACAAACTTGTAGCTTTCTGAATATGACTGAATTGTGGATTTGGGGAGATGAAGGAAGAGACAAACAGACAGCTTTAGTGGATGGAGAGAATCACATGTACAAGTATTTTAGAGCTGGCCATGAGGTAGTAGAGAGATGTTGCTATAACGGCCTATACAAAGCCAAGCCTCGCTATTTATTATTCTATGCAATGCTCCAACACTTTTATTCCTAGGTAACTTAGTGCCCGTGGCTGAAGGTATATTTTGAAGTACTATAACGAAAACAAATTCTTTCCAGCCTCAGAAATGAGCAATAGTGGAAGCAAACTGTTCAGAGACGAAAAAACAGACAAATGCAAAGTGCTGTACTGCATGGCACATTAAAGGTTCATTTCCAAGATGCCATTTCAAGAATGTTCTTCCACGCTTAGGCAAACCATGAACCAAAAAAAAAAAAGAACAGTATAGTCTCTTTCTGTTCACTGTGCCTAGTTCACATATTTAGATAAATCTTTTGTTGACTAAAAAAAATGCCCTCCCTTATTCCTGTAAGGACAGTTCTGTCTCCTAGATATGCCAGCTCAAAGGACCCTAACTTAACATTAGTAGAAGATGCTTTTCCCGAAGTCAAACCAAAACCTAATCTACATTTTTCTCAACAGTGTGACTACAACTTCAACAATTCTGAGCAAATATTTTCCCTTCTGTTTAAGTATCAAGTGGCATAAATCCATCTTACTCACATAGAAAACTAATTCAGAAGCCACGAGCAATCAAAGACAGTAAAACACAGAAATAGATACACAAAAATGGGTTCTTTCTGTCTGAGTTTTGGGTAAGTGCAACTGATTTCAGTGCACTTACATTGCAAACATGTTTTCTCTTTATGGTTTAGAAGCACTCAGGGAGATAACACAGAACAGTATTTGGAGTGAGGCAAATGTCAGTTTTAACTAAAAGACTGAAGTTCCAAACCCATACGCTTGTGTAAGTGTGCTGCTCTTAGAGCAGAGAGAATTTTTTTTTGCATTTAACTGCAAAGACAGACAACAGTATTTAGCTCATGAATCAACGAGCATTTGTTTGCAACAGCTTGGTTGTCTTAAATCCACCAAACTGCCATGAGCAGGAAGTTGCCACATCTCATGCCATCAGAACACACTAAAGTGAACAGATATGATAGATTCCAGATAAATCTTTCCAGTTTTCCCAACAACATTCACAAAAGGTTTAGAGAACTATCAAAAGCAGATTTTTCAGCACGTCTTCCCAGTCTCCTTAACCTATAAACTTCAATCAATTACTGCACTTAAAAAAAAAAAATAGATTTCATTTCGTACTCGGGCAAAGACTCCCATTAAAAGTCTCATCAGAAGACAGCTTTTGCAGTACTGCAGCACACTCGTATGGATTGGAATTCAAATTCTCTCTGACACTGAGCATGATGCACATGTGTTATTATTCTTCAATTACATCTTCAGGGAGATGTTGAGGGAAAAGTTGTAATAGAACGCATTCCTTGCAGGCTTCCCAAGCTCACAATATTTCATCACACAGTTCTCAATTACTTATTTCATATTTGGTTGATTGCTGTCAGGAAGGCAATAAGGAATACCACATTTCCACAGACATAGATGGATAGCACAATCTGTTTAAACAGACGACCCTGCAAGAGAAGGGGAAGAAAAGCCATAGAAGTGTCAGGTTTAAACAAAGAATCACCCCATCTCATGGTAGTTATTTTAAAAATTGTGGTTTACCTCTGCTTCTGCAGTTGTGAGGGACTGCAATATCTGTACTCTGTCATCCTCTATCACTTCAGCTGTCAATGGAAAGCAGAAAAAAAAAATTAAGTCTGCTCCTAAGAGGAAGACAGTTTTCATTTTTATACTGCAGAAGTCCTGATCCTGTAAATTAAGTATCTAAGTCTTATACAGCATCAAATTTGAAAAGCACTTAGACGTCTCGTTTGACATTTCATGACCTGTACTACCATGCTCACAGGACAAGTGAAAAACTATTTTGGATCTGACCTACGTAATTCTGGATATTGAAGTGGCAAAACATTGTCTCTTTTGCTAGAGTGAAACATTGAAACACTGAGCTTTGAGTTGAACACAACATTCGTTTGATCTAAAACCTTTTCCCTTGCATTTTAAGATAACCAGATTTCATTAAGGAGTATTTCCCATTAGCCAACATGAGAATATTCACTGTTCAAACATTTCACCTTCATTTCTGTCTTTCTAGGAAAGAATTACTGCAATTAAATTTTATTTACATCTTTTATAGTCACTCCTCCTTGAACCACCTTACATAGCCTCTCAGCTAAACATGTTGTTTCAGTTCTGCAGATGTCTCTGCCTTAGATACAGGTTGTTTCCATGTGAAAGTCATCTCCTCTTTGTGACAGCAGCCAGCGAAGATAAAAATTTCTGATGAAGTTACTACCAGTCTCTTCATCAGACATACCAGAGTCAGGATTTCACCTTCATTCTTCTGTTCACTCAGAACTGCAAGCATTTGTGCTCAAGTTTCTGATCATTTTGCTCATGCAACGATAGCCATTCATACCAGTAATTTGTCACAATAAAATACAGACAAAATCTGTGTAACTTAACCTGGACTTTACCTGCCCACCTGGAACCAAAGTCATGGCAAACAGTGATAGATTCTTGGAAAATACTTGGGCATTTCAGTCTACCCCTATGAACTGTAGTCTGAGAAATAAGAAGCTAACATTTAAAAAAGGCACAAACCCAATTTTTCTAGACTACTTTGACCTTGAAAACTGGTTACTCCCATATTAATTGGTACAGAAGGTATGACATTATTTCTCAAGAGTTATTCCCTTTCAGCTTTCAAGTCAAAGGCCAAAGAACACCCCTTGAAATTCAATCCACTGCTACATTTTTGCACAGTTGTCAGCAATCAAGGTAACAGCAGGAGATTTGCTGGGTTTGTACCTTTACGGATGAGACAGTAGCTGTGTATTTCCAGGAGAACATCAATACCAACATGCCAAGCTACAAAACCAATCATTGTGTAGGTGTCCCATGGGTCTGGTAGGTCAAGTGCTGGTAGATCCATTCCCAAGAACATAGTCACCACTAGTCAGTAAAAACAAGATAAATAGACACCAAGAGTGCTGTGTCAGAGTAATTCTAAAAATGCTCTCAACATCATTGGCAATATTTCCCATTAACTTCCTACAACAGCTTGGGGAATTAGCTAAAAAGCTAAAAGTTGTTTGGTTTTTTTCCTTCATTTTTTGGCAGTGTGAGGGGGAAGGCAAGGAGAAAAGAAGGCCAAGTTGGCTTTCATCTTGCTCAGTGTCCTATAACATCAAAGTTGCAAAAACATCCAAGAAAATGCTAGCATTTGTGACTCGACCAACAAGACCACAGTCACCACAATATTTGTGCTGGGGAAACTTGTCACTATTAACAGAATTAAGCCCAATTTCTGGTTCTGTGAATTTACTCTCTCCCATTAAATAACATTGAATTATGTTACTCTGAGAATACTATCCTCAAATCTTCCAAGACAAAAAGAAATTACTTAAGAATACATGCTCATTATAGAGATCTTTGTCTGTAATCTCTTTTTACATAGTCACTTTTTCTCCCTAAAGCTATATCTGATCACCATTTAAAACTCACATCAAAGATGGCCAGTTGGAGGAGGGGGTGGGGGGAAATCTTCAGAGATGCCTGAACTGGATGTCCACAAGTGTTTTAGATGAGCAACAGGCCAATGAACAAAGTTCTTCTGAGTCACTTAAAAGGGAGCTACAACTACCACTCCTACTCACCGGCTAGAATTCTAGCTATTGTACCAGTACTCCAGTGAAACCAGTTAAACAATTGCCTCCTACAAAACAATGAAAAGCATTTTATTGATTACAAAGGCTGAGGGGTGGGGGGGAATCAAAGAACATTGTTATCCACTTTAAAAGATATATTTTCAACGTAAAATAGTTTTTCAATAAACAGGCATATTTAATTCCTGTGGCTGTAACATAATGAGCTAGCTGAGAGTACCTTGGCGCATGACGAGATGGTCTGAAACCTGCCATAAGTGCTTGAAAGATGGTCAGAGCCATCACCGTACTGCCGAGATAAGGATGAAAACCTGCTTGCTAAACATAGGACATTTTTCTTTAATAGCATATCTAGATTAAGACATAGAAAAAACATACCCCAAAGTTGATAATTTTATTTATGCTTTTATTGGTAAGATACAATAGTTTAGCAGCACTGTGTTTAGACTGGCAGAGGCAAGAGGATATATTAAGATGTCCTGCAGCTGGAAGGAGATGGTTCTCCTTTGCAGCATGAGACGATAGTAAGTCTGTCTAGAGTTGTCTCACCCTTTTGTTCTACTCAGAAGTTCCACCAGCTGAAGAGCAGAGAGCAATATTGCTGTAGAAACTGTGCTCCAAACTTTTCATCCTCAATCCTGTGTATTCAGGAGAGGCCTGTTTCATAAATTCTCCCAGCACTGATCTCCTCTCTCCCTCTATCTGTTCTAATCTTAACCCTAAAACACTTTATTCAAATTTCCCTAGCTCAGATCCGTGACCTCGTTCTCTCACCTTTAATTCAGATACTCTCCAGACTTGTCAATTTTTGGTATCACCTCACACTAAATATTACAAAGGTGGCAGCAACAGGTATACAATCTCTGTGTATCAATATAGGTATACAATCTCTATCTATCTAATGTTCCAGACCGAGCTTAATCACTGGACACAGTTAATCAAGTCCAAGTTCATATCAACGCTTATTCCCAGCAAGTTTACAGCATTAGGTCAGCTATCCCATCCTCACTCCCCTCCTGAACTCAAGTTCTCTAAGGAGATTGGAAGACTGATTTAGTACGTAAAAAAAAAATGTGAGCTAAGACTTTACTTGGGTAAGAGGAACAAAGAGGAACAAAGGAAAATATTTAAGTTTTTCAACTGTAGTTAAAAGGACGCAACTTTTCTGTGTATCTAGGATTTCAAGCCAGCCTACTTACAGACAGTTTTCACAGCAATTTCTTCAGCAATAGTTGTAACATGTTAGCTATCAGTGGATATCCTCGCTCATTTGGCCAAACCTTTACATTTGAGTTAAACAACTTTAAAGCACACACTTACTTGGCTCCAGCCTCCTCGGTATATAAAAGGCAACACAAAAGAAATGCTTGTAAGCATGACTGTGGTCAACATTAGCATACGATGGACCTAGAAAAGTTAAGTCTGGTTTAAAAAACGCTACAGCTTTTTTAATATCCATTAAAGTCCATTTAACAGATCTACAGTTAAAGATGTTCTTAGTGTCATCTTTATACCTAGCTTTTACTAGGAAATGGACTTCTGATTCGCAATTGTTCTGTTTTATAAGATTAAAGATAGATAAAAATCCCCCCCATATTTAATCTCTATTTCTTGGATCTAGTAGGTTTATAATTCTGCTTACAACAAAGCTAAAAAGTACAGCTGGAGATACAGGGAGATTTTGCCCACCTGAAACCACATCTCCTTTCCAAACAGGAATGAATGAGACCAGAGAGGTTTGAAGAATCGTGCAACAATAACTCCAATACTAACTGTGGTAATCCAAGCAACAAACATTAGTGCTCCTGAAAATTGAAAAAATACAAGATAAACAGAAGTATTTTAACTGCATATAAACACAGCTTCAAAGACAGTGCAATAGTTCAGTCAGAATTTACAAGTTTTTAATCACCCAGTTCAGACTACAAGCTTCACAGTATTTATGCTGCTAGAGGGTAGAAACACCCATACAAAAGACAAGGAAACTATGCCCTCACAGCACAAGAGAGCAGCTGCAGCTACTGTGCATTTCACATGCGCCAGTGCAGTCAGTGCACACTGGCGAGACACACTGTTCTGTCACCAACTTTGACACCAGAGGATGAAAGGTGACATTTCTTACAATTTGTTTAACAAGGAATGAGTGACAGTTTTCATGATCCTGCTTTAAAGTCCAATACTGTGAGAGAAAAAATTGTCATTAACTTTAATGGCTCTGGACTGCTGGTTGAGGATTTTCTCATTTCCGTTAGAATTAAACCAATAATGACACAAGAACAAATTAAACCAGAGAGAAAGAGGTAAATAGAAACAAGACCTAATTATAAATTTAACAGAAAAGGCAAATGCAAGTTTATTTTCCTGGGCAAAAAGAATCCTATAATGCTGTTCTTGAAACAAAAATTTTACTGTGTCTTCATGGTCTCAAATTGTGCTAGCAAACAGTATATACATAGGGAGTGTCAGAAGGACAAGAGGAAATACCTACATCGCAATAATGAAGAAAACTGAAGTCTCCAGTCTCAGCAAGTCTAGAACTGGAGGACAGAACTAAAATTGCAGCTTACCATGAGCCTTGATAAGTCGCGGAGACCGGGAACCTCCAATATCCTGAGGAAGGCCTGCGACATTGTACATCCCGTTGGTGACCAGAGGCTGACGACTATGTTTGTACATTCGTCCACCTAAGCATTGACATAAAAGTGGTTTCTTTATGGCTGATGTAAGCCACTGCACTTGTAAGTGTGCCCACTCCTTATTTAAAAATGCAAGCCTCATTGTGACCCCTAAGCATAATCATGCAAACTGAATTTCTGACACACAATCTGGTAAGAATCTAGAATAACATCTACACTGTCTTGCCTACTTAATATACAAGAATCAGCTCTTTCCTCTACAGAATATAGCTTTCCCTACTATACAGACAAGATGTGAAAAATAATTCCCTTAGATGCTAGTTTCCATTTTAAGAAGATGTGGCCAGCTTAAGAAGCTACCAATTTCTAGCATCAAGTGGGCATACAACACACATACGTAAGTAAGCTTCCTTGAACTTTCAAAAGCAAACCCACAACCCAGAGAGGCAGTAGAAATGACTGGACTAAGTGGCTCAAACTTGGAAACCTTAGTTCAGATAGAAATTCTCAGCTAAGTCATATCTTACATAAGATATTACTAACTCGTTTAGATCTGTTCAAAAAAAACCCAACCTTACATAAGTCAAGTTTACCTTGACTAGTTTCTCCATCTGCCAGAAAGATGTAGTAACTGGCATTCAAATTAAATCTCCCTTTATGAGCAGGAAGATGAATACTCCGTCTGAAAGAACACTGAAGAATACCATCCGCAAGCCTCCATGACACATCTTCAAGGGCATTCTGTGAAACAAGAGATATTTAATACCCAGTATTTTCAGACTGGCAGAGTAATTGGTTTAAAAGTAACTCTGCAAAAAACAGAAGTGCACTACAGCAAAGTAAACGTTGAACTTAGTGCCACCAATTTTTCCAGCTCATAACAACAATCATCCCTTCCTTTCCAACCTTTAACCAAAGAACAATTGCAGCTGCAGCCTTAGCAAAGGGACAGAGTAATAACGGGCACAAAGTTCTTCAACAGATTAAGCTCCCACCACATGACTTATTCTTAAAAAATAAATAAATTGGTTAATTAATTAATTAATTAAGGCTTCCACTGGTAACATTTACTAGGAAGTAAGAACTCGACCACTCTCGCTTTAATGAATTATGGATCCACCATACTACTTAGAGCTGCTGTGCAAAAGACAAGCACAAAGTAGCAGCATACCATCCTTTAATTCAAACCTTCATTTGTGGAAGTGTCTTTGCTGTTTTTCAAGCATACCTCTGAATCCAGAACAGGAGGACTGCGCCCCTTCAGATAGGCAGTGCTTACGTGAACATGGTGGTCCTCATTAATGCACAGATATGCATCATCACCACCCTGGAGAGTTTAAGAAAAAGGTGTATATATAGCCCAGTAAAAACTACTACTGACAGTCTCCAAAAACTCTTTGATTCAATATATACAACCGGACCCAAGTCAGATTTGTCTAGCTGTCAAGCTTTCAGACACTTGGGTATTGCAGAGGAAGCACATTAAGTCAAATGGATGATGCACAGTAAGGGCATATTATCATTTAGACTGCCCTACTCCTAGCATAGCAACCATCAACATCAGAAGTTTCTTTAATTATTTAGAATTTACTGAATTAATCAGATATGACAGAGATGGATGTGGATCTTATTTAAGAACCTTCTTTAGCTGAAAGTTGGTTTTCCTCACAGCTATAAAGACAAAGTACTGTTACAAACCAAATATTCTTGCACTAGGGACATTAATACAAACATGGTCTTCTTTGTGCAACAGTTAGTTTATGGATTATGCATCCATCAACTGCATTGTCCCTTCACTTTAATGTGAATTAGGAGGGAGGAAAAAAAAAAGCAACAAAACCAAAAACATAATCTCCACTTTTTAAGACTGGAGTCACTCTTGTACAAACAATGTTGAAATGAAAACAGTTTTCAGAAAGTATAGTAACTCACATTATAAAAGGTGAGGATTTTTGGCTGAGTAACAAAGTAAGATGGATCTAATCACGTATTCCAGTCAGCTACTGTGCAATCAGACAGGCTGGACTCTGCAAAGACGGATGTCCACAGGGAAATTCTACTGCAAATAGTCAGTCCTGAGCTAAAACCTAATATCGAGCCTGTGCTTCAGCACGATGGGAGAGAAGTTACTTTGTGTGATATCTCGCATTATTTTAGTTTTCCACATGCATGTTTTGCTAGAGTACCACTGAAACTTTACTAAGATCATAAAAAGAACTAAAGAAGTAGAAAAGAACACTCACCATCCACTGGTCATAGGAAAAGGCAAATGCTAAATATCCTTCACTTGGGCCACTCATTTCAATAAATACTGAACTCTTTTCATGTTTGAAGGACAGAAAGAAACAGGAAGCACTTTCAGGATCACATCTTGAAGGATTCCTAATGCAGAACTTGATAATTCCACAACCTGATGCATTAAACTAGACAAATAAGCAAACAAACAAGTCATAAGCAATGAGAGTTTCATTCTTTCTCCCTTTCTACCCCCATTCTAGAAGAAAGCATATAACCAAAGCTAAGAAACATCATCTATACCAACCTCTTACCCATCCCTACAACTACTTTAGGACTTAAAAACTTTTAAAAAAAACTTCCTTTGGTTTAATTTTCAGAGAGGTAATATCAGCTGTAGGATTAGGGAGAAAAGACGACCAGCTTTTCATTTTCTTTTTAAAACAGGATCTCCACTGATACACAATGAGAAAATACATGGATTGTAAGTCATGTTTATTTTGAATAAAGTAGCGATGCTTGCTCAATCCATTCAAGAACTAGTAATGGAAGTCAGTAACACAGATGAACTCACAGAAGGAAGTTTCTGAGCCTGCAGTTACTAAATAGGAAGTTGTTAGTGAATACCAGAGCAAGTCTTTTCCTATCTCTCTTCCCAGGTATCCATAACCTTTTCTGACCATTAAGTTCTTAATGTTCTACCAACCTTCTGAACTGTGTATGGCGTGACAACCTGTAACCACCCAAGTGCAGGAAAGTCAACTACCACAAGAGGGTAGCTATGCTCTTAGTGTCTGATAACCGAGTTACTTGTCAATCATCTCTCCCTTTCTATCAATAGGCTGTATCAATTAATTTCATTAAATTCCATTGATCATAAACATTAAAGATAGCATTATTTAAGATTTATAATGACTTACTGGCTTCGATAAGGAGGAAACCGGGCATGAAGTTGATATAGCCTCCGATGTTGCATGCACGGTTGTTGTTGGGAATGGTGCAAGACGCTGAGAAACAATGGGACCGGGAATCTTCACCCAGTAAGTCCTGTAGTTCTTCACAATTGTGGCTCTTAAAAAATGCAACACACACACAATCATTACTGTATTCACCAACAGCCTATTTTTACTTAAAAAAAAAAAAAAGGAAAAGTTTCTATAAACTTGTACAACTTACTTGCAAACCCTCCATCTTTATGCAAACCTTTTAGGGATTAAAGTTGAAAATTATCTGACATCTCAGTGGAAAAATAATTATAAAACATACTATCATATGTTCTACCAGATATAAAATATTCATGTCTGTGGCACAGATTATAACCTCAGAAAAGAGCTGTACAACTTATATCTTGTAGTTTCCAAAACACTATAACAGAAGGGTATACCTATGGTTTTGTTAGGTACAAGCACAGAAGAAGATTCTTAACACTGTATATTATAGGCATAACAAATGAGCAGTTAACTAGAAACACTAAAAAAACTGGTCTCCAAATTCCCTTCTACTCTCCCTTCAAAAAACAAAGTCATCCTCTCCAAGCTTCCCCTGCAGAAAAAATGTCTGCATTAATGTAGACTGCAGCCATCAAGAGGTGTCAACCTTTCAGGTCATTAGTCCAAGAACACTTTTCAGTTGCTGGCCAGTATTTGAAACAATGGTACAGGTTTATTTTATTCACATTTTAATAAACTAAAATTAGATTTACTTACAGAAACTGTACACGTTTTGGTGCGTCTCCAGGAGCAATCCAATAAACTTTTACGTATTTCTTTTTTGCTTTACTTGTGTGACTGACAGCTGAATTCTGAGAACAAACACATATCAAGAGTTACACAGCGGATATGCACTAAGTAGATTACTGTTAATACAGTCATCATGGCCTGAAGCTAAATCCTGAATGGATGCTGCACAGTTACACTGCACAGACCCAATGCCACTGGCTTTTCCTCAGACAGTCACAATCAACTTAGATGAAGTTTACCACTAAAACTTACACATACTAAAAAACTCTAAGGCTAGAACAAACAACTAAAGGTCTTCCAATCCAGAAGAACAGCAATGAGACAGAGATCCCTGCAGTGTTTACGCAGAAATGGTAAAATATTGCACCATTTTTTATGATAAGAGCATGGAGGGACAGTGCAATGACTGTACAGAGAGAACAGAACTAGTGTTCCAGAGGACAAAACCCCAAAGCAGTCTTGGGGTCAGAGTTATTTACGCAAGACAAACAGATCAAACGCAGAACTGAACTGTCCTCCAAGCACTGAGGACAAAACCCAGACATCCCCATGGTTTTACAGCACTGATAAATGCATTCATTGGATGTCACTGTGGGACAGGTGGTAGAAGTAGAAACTAAAAAACAAACACATCTAGGCAGATTGACAGCTTTGTCCACCCCAGCTCAGATGCCACTGTATGTGAAGGTCAAGTGGGTTGCTGAAACACTAGTCCAAGTTCAGACCTTGCACAAAACTGAATCAATTTATCTAAAACTGATACCGAAGATTGTAATCTAACCTGTTACTAAGAAGGCTCCATTAACGGTAACTGACAGAATAACACTAAAGATAATAGACTATTCCAGTGTTTGTTTACCACAATAACTGTCCTAAACTGTCCTTGCTGTAACAAGGCAAGTCTTCAAAAAGCATGCAAAATGACTGTTAACTCTACTCTTCAAGGCAAATAGAGCATGCCCTCCTCTTTCTAATATTAAACACAGTAACCAGGAATACACTACATTCATTGTGTTAAATAAATATATAAATTGTTAAAAAATTGTTATGAATGCTACATCTCCCTGTGGCAGTTAATAGACTTCTATCAGCAGGATAGTTTAAACAGTTCATAAGAGTAGTCTCACAGTGCTGCAGCGAGCCATGCTTCTAAACTGCAAATCGGACCAATTTCCTGATCCTGAGCTCTAAGAGGACTACATAGCTTAGCTCTATCCTATTACAGGCACGGTCTAGCACAGACACCTCAGTGCCTGGTGTCTCATAGCAAGATACTAGACTATACCTTGGTACGGCCACATGTCAAAAGCTGAGAAAGTCTCCGGTCAACTAACTTGAAAGAACCAACTGCGGGGCTATCCAGGTGTTCTGCATCTCGGGCTTGTATGAAAAATCCTTCAAAATCAGGTCCAGATAGGTGAACTGAAGCAAGAAGAAAAATGAAAGAAAGCTGAAATATTATCCAGAGGAAAAATTAAATATTTCAACAATGACACTAGAAATTCACTTTGCAAGCACTGAAAGACTGCTAAATGGATCACCTGAACAATATTCAACTGCTTAAATAGCTCTAGTATAGATAATTGAGTAAAGACATACCACAACATAAAGAAACACTAAATTAAACTCTTCAGCATTAACTGACACAATACCTTCTATGCTGTCCCCTGGTTTAAATTCAGTCCCATTTGCTGTAATGGTGTGCTCAGGTAAGAGCTGTGGAGAGCCACCATGACAGGGTATCATGCTAGTGCAGGCTTGTCTCACTTTTCCATTTGGATATCCATCCACACAGGCATAGAAGAAAATAAAAATCCAAACAGCAAACACAAGGACAGTCAGCTGCATCTATATAAAGTAAGAGTTACAAGCAATTAAATACAATAAACATTTACATTACAGGTTACCACTCATCTTTAGAAGAGTCAGTTGAACACTAAAATTTAAAACCAAGTTTAAAACAAAAGTATACATGAGGAAACACCATGCCCAGCTGCAGAAGCTACAAGTAATGTGTGCTTCTAATGACTGCCAGACTTTGCAAAAGCGTCCACAGATACTGTGTTTCAGGCCACGAAGAATACAGACAGTAGATGGAACCCTCCATCTACTGGGTGGATTGTTCTTCTCAGTGCATATTGACATCATGTTTAAAATTTCTTTTGCTTACACGTCTCCCATCTCTCTCAAAAAAAACCCAAACAACTAAAACCCCACAACACTAAATAAATCCAAGTCCCTTAAACATCTGCAAAGGACCGATGGATCTTAAAATATGTTTCACAGATGTAAAAAGGTCAACAGTACTGAGGAACTACACAGCTAGTATCAAGTCCACTCTTTCATTAGTCATAGCTCCATACTGTGCATCATTACAGACTGCCTTTTGTTTCCACAACTCGTGCCTATTTCTCCACATGTGACAAATAATTCCCAGGTAACAAGTTCTTCTTTCTGAAGGGAAACTAAGAGTGCTAAATGTCAGTAATAGATTTTATACATGCAAAGGAGTGGGAACTTTATATATTCAGATAAATATGTATGTTTGTTACAGACAAGCACAAGACTTCTCCTTTGAATTCTTCCTTTTGAACAGTGAGTTTCTAAACAATTAGTCCAACAATATAATTTCTTGACACACTCTTATTAAGGGAACAGTATGCATGAAAACATGTGAGGCAGTAGTACCAAAGAGCCTAAAACAGTTTTATGATCACTTAATCCCAGCATTTGTTGCATGATGTTTTCCTCTGCCACAATGTTTTCAAAAAAGCTGCGGTAATTGCTTTGTTACCCAGCAGCATGCAGGCTTACCGTTGTATAGCTGTTCATAGAATGCCTTAGCTAATAAGAAGAAACGTCTGTGTGTCCAAAAGGCTGGGAGAGCTGAGATAAACTTCCTTGCAATCCTCAGGCACAAGAAGCAAGTTGTGAGCTCTAGTGGAACCTATACCAGGCTACACCAGGCAAGTAGGTCTGCCTTCTGGAAGAGCCATGCCCATTTGGCACCAAGTGATAAGAAGTATCAGGTTCTCTGACAGCATGTATGGGCATGCAGATAAGAAAGGCACAGAATCATTGCAGACTGTACTCCAACATCTAAAAAGCAGTCAAATGAGGACAAGGCATGTTGCACTCTCCAAGAATCACCCACATTACCTTTTCCAAAGTTCTTATACCTTCAGTGCTAAAAATCCACAATATGCTGGGCAATGTCACATTTGTACTTCAACAGAAGACCTCCTTGGCAACTTTACACCACTAAATAAAAAATCAGAGGGGAGAGGGGATTGAACATTTCAGGAACTAGGAAAAAAAAACCACAGAAAAACCCTACAAAAAACAAAAAGACACCCAAAAAAACCCAAAAAACCAACACGCTACTCAACTCCTCCTCCCAAATATTCAAGATAACCTTATGATAATATATTCAACTTTTAGTTAAAGTAAGGCTTTCCTTCTAATTCCAATACTTCTCCAAACTCACAGATTTGCAACATGATTTTATCCACATGCTAAGGAAGCCTATAGGAATCAAAAAACTAAGGTGGCATTAAAGTAGCTTTTATATGTACAAGTGAAATCTTCAAAACAAGTTGCTCCCAGAAGAGATAAGGCAGCATACCACAGAGGCAAGAAGAAGAACAGGTCAGCATTCTAGTTTAAGTAGCAGAGGATGTGGTAGGGATTTAGAAATGAAACAAGAAATATTCTTTGGCAGATTCAACTGACTCAAAACCTGACAGAACAGAAAGAGGAAGCAGCAGAGATTAAAAGAATGAAAAAGCCAAAGTCTGAAAAAAGTATCAAGAAGGACCTGATAGATTGATCAAAGTTATCACATCCTACAGAACTGTTACTCTGTTATTCTACTTCTCCCAGAAACAAAGTTGAATTTATAAAACACACACCACCACAGTCAATTTGTGTTATAAAGAAGGTGAATCAGCAGATCTCTGCAAGATTGTCTTTTCTAGATAAGGACAACACAAACTGTGTCAAAAACCTTAAATCATGAAGTACTGCCTGTAAAGCCAGATTCAAATCAAGAATCTATGTTGAGTTTTGAGATGTATAGGCTGTGGAACAGACTGCTATTACCTATAGCACTGAAAACACTCTCAGTTTCTACTGTAACTGATTATAAATTGTAGATTTGTCCTTCCTGACAGAGGTTGCGGACAAGTTGTATTAAGCAGCTTTGGCCATAGTGGCTTGCTTATAACCCTTTGAAATACAGCACCTCATTGGAACCACCTGTGAATTAGCAGACAGTCAGGTTTCCCATACTAAAGAGGTATAGGAATAATTGACTTCAGCAATGAAGCTAATTCTTGCAGTATTTTTCAACCAACAATTCTCTAGTGGTTTTGTTAACTTGCTATTATAAACAGCCTGGAAGAAGAAAAATGAGTTTAAGGATTTCTGCACTATCCAGTGACTTGTTCTCCAAGATAAATGCTTTACACCAAAATGCCTGTGTTAACTCAGGGCCTGAGAGTACATGTAACCTCCTTCCTCTGCTCCTCCCATACACCAGCTGCACACCATGTGGTAGCAAGCAGCAGTAAATGCCCCAGTCAAGGTTACAAGGATGTGCTACTACAGAGTATACTAGCTCCGTAGTCAGAACACAATCATTTAGCACTGACTGTAGATTTTACTTAGTCTTGCACGATGCATAGATTTATCAATACGTTATATACAACCAAAGACAGTGTAAGACCCAGTCGTCCTTTCTCTACAGACACACATACTACTAGCACATACCACACCATTACATGAGAAGACAGTTTTTCAAACTGTAATGTTTCATACATAGGAGAAGACTTGGGGATGGACCTTATAACTGCCTTCCAATACCTGAAGGGAACCTACCGGAAGGCTGGAGAGGGACTTTTTACAAGAGTGTCCAGTGATAGGACAAGGGGAAATGGATTTAAACTGAAAGAGAATAGGTTTAGATTGGGTCTTAGGAAGAAATTCTTCAGAACGAGGGTGGCAAGACTCTGGAATAGGTTGCCCAGAGAGGTTGCGGATGCCCCCTCTGTGGAGACATTCAAGGTCAGGTTGGATGAGGCCTTGAGCAACCTGGTCTAGGTAAGGGCATCCCTGTCCACGGTATGGAGGTTGGACTAGATGATCTCTAAGGTCCCTTCCAGCCTAAGACATTCTATGATTCTATTATATACTTCCATTTAGAATGGAGAAAATACTTCAATATTCATTAGTTTGAAGCATGACTGGAAATTTGTTACTTCATCCCTCATCCTTCCTAATATCCCTAATATCCTCATCCTTCTTTAGTATCCCATATTCCTCTGCAGGAAAGAAAGCTTAGAACATGTTTGCTCAAAAAAACTCCAGCATTACCTGTAATTCTAATGGTGTTTCAAATACCATGTCACTACCGTGGCAGAAGGAGGAAAGGATAGAAGGTAGAACCATGTACTTGAAGCCATTTATAGAACAGCCTTCTATGTAATAGAAGGCTAAAAAATATGGAGTGACAGTCATCTTCTTATCAACTTTGTCTAACTTGGGCAAAATGCTTTAGAAATTTCTGCTTTTTCAAGGAAGCTGAGTAATCAAAAATGTCACAATATTTATTTCATATAGAACTTGATTATAACTGTAAAATGCAATTACTCAGTAGTAATAGCTGACTTCTAAAGTAATCTGAAATTTCAGTCAAGCATTTCTTGAGCTATACTACCAAGTCATTTTATATGTTTGCTGGGCAGACCAGAATTCAGGACATAAATAGAGCTTTTTGTTAGAGGACCCTTTTGAGGGGAACTTGCATTGCATATGAGCCCCCAGAAATCTGAAGGAAAGTCACAGAGAAAAAAAAATAAAAATCAGAACAGGTGTCCCAAAGGTAATCAATGTGTGACCAGTTATTCCAGCAGTGGTGGAATGTAAAACAGTTAATTTAAATAAAAGGCTGAAAAAATGAGTTCACTGAGAACCTGCAACAGACACTCCTGAAAAAGTGAACTAGAAACAACCACTTCAATTAGTATGAGTAGCAATGAAGTAGCTAGCATTCTTCCTACTTATGATGGATCATAACAAGACAAGAACACTTTTGTGATAATTCAAATATTGATGGTTAAAGGCCAAAACAATTACCTGTAGCTTAAACTCAAGAGTTCCTGTCTGGCAAGTCAGACTGCAAAAAGAAATATGAGTTTGTTCATAATAATAACTACCAGCTTCTGTAAAGTTTCAATGCAATAAAACTATACTTGTCTGAACATTTAGAATTTATCATTCTGCTCATTTAGGAGTCATCTCATTCTGCCCCTAACAAGAGGTGAGAAAAGAATAAGAAATGGTAGTGAGAGAAACAAAAAAAAAAAAAAAAAGAGTACTATAACTTGGAACAAAATCTTTAAAAGCCAGAACCAACTACAGCAAAATTTAGTTGGAATCTTCTCATGTTATTTAGTATACATGGGTATTTGTTCTCCTGATTACATCTCACAATCTTACAGTAACAGGAGAGAGGTAAGTTACACTCTCCTGTGTTGAAAAAACTCCTACATTCTCTGCAGTTATCAACAGCTAAGACAGCCCTGGTAGCCTAATTCCTTAAGAGCACAATGTTCATACACAAACTCGGGATATCTTAACCGAAATTATCTTCTTTCAGCTGTATAACAGAGCCTTGTTAGCTGCAGAGTATTAAAACTAAAACTAGTTTCGGAGAGGGGGAGATAAGAGGAAAGCCAAGAAAAATATATTGCCAATTCAAAGGTACAAAATTTACCATATCCAGAACTTTTCTCCTGAGCACCATCAGACAAGAGGGCAATCAGAAAAGAAGAAAAGGTATCTAAAGGAGAATAAGCTGTATTAACAGCCATATCTCTCTAGAAATATAAAAAGCAAAAGCAGACAGCCTTGCTGTCCAAGAGTCACCTTCCCTCTGAGTTTAAAATAAGAGCTTGAGTTAATTTCTCCTGCTTATTTAGATGTGGTCATATCACAACAGCTGGACAGAAACAAGGGCAGAAAACAAGTAGTGTTCATATTTACAAGAACTCATTACTTTTCAAATACACACACCCTCATGCCCACAAGATGCCAAAACACACACACCTCAAGCCTCTTGTCTTTCTACTCAGGAAACACTCAAAGAGAACTTAAAGGCTTGTGTGTTTCAAGACCCATTTTGTAACAGTTCAAGTGTAGGTACTTACCCTACAGCCAGTCCTTCCCTTACAGTGGCCAAGTCTGACTAAAATTACCATTAGTTTTCTACTTACAGTAAGACAACTTATACTACATTGTAACTTCTTCTATTTTGATTTGCATCTAACAGTATTAACCTTTATCAGACCTAGGATCAGAGGAAGTTTTCTGAAAAAAGAAACAGCAGACACATACAAAAAAGGAAACATTTAAGAGCATTCTTTACTTCAGGTACATGTTTTATATTGCTTCCCAAGCAAAGCCCATAAGACCCCACACTCAGCTGAAATGTAAGAAGTTGTAATCAAGCACTGACCCTGCAGCTTCCTTTGCTTTGTCAGACATACTTCCACAGACCTCAGAAAGGTTCATATTAAGTAATTATTTTTATTATCACGTGGTGCAGTTAAGGGAGAGAAAAATAAAAAATACAACTTAAGATACCTTCTTCTTTAAAGAAGAAGTTAGTAAAAATCTGCAGCACGATTTTGAAGTATTGCTATGCATTTACTTCCTATTAGAGAGACACTTTCTTTTAGAAGGGTGATAAGCAATATGTTAAGTTTGTCCTTTTCTCTATACGCTCCACCAGGAATGAATAAGATGCAAGGACTTGTCCTGTTTAGTTGTTTACTTTAATAAAACTTTCTGTCAGACACTCTTCTGCATGTACTGTTTAAGGCCCCAATGCTGCAAAATTTTATCTTATGGAGAACTCAGATTTTGCAGGCTCACCTAAAACCAACATAGTTTGTTATCCCAACACGCAAATCCAACTACAGGATAAACAGACTTACTGTAATAGTTACTGTACAGCTCTCTCCTACTCATATTAATGAATAAGCAAAATAAGAAAGTAACAGATAACATTGTGAAGCAAACAAGATGCAAGATGAACATGGCTGTTGTAGTTTCCAGATAACATAAGCCATAGCTTACCTTTACTCATTCAGGCAAGCAGGCTTAAAAGCTTTCTCCACAGCAGTTCAGAAACGCTTGCATCAAAGACAGCGGCAACAGCGTGCTTTAAAATATTCACTAGATACTAATTTGCTCTAAAGCTGCTGTAAATATTCTGTTAAGCACATACAGTTTTCCGAAGGCTTGCAGTATCCACACCTCGAGCACTCACTGGCGTCAGTTTCCCCAAAGGGCTC